TGGTCACTGCTGGAGCAACTGATGTTTTAGCCTGTGCAGAGTTCTGCCCAGCTACTTGGCCACTTTGCTGCTGACCCCACTGCCAAGCAACAGGCTGGCTGGGGGTTGGAGAATAGTTGACCTCCATGGAGGGTCTTGGGTCCACTTGACCACCAATGTGGTCTACCAAGTGCGCCCTCTGGTGGATATTTTTGGTACTTCACTGATTCCTTGATCTTCCCAACACTTGCCCTCAGTGCCCACACAAACCCCTAACCCTTGGTTTACATTGTTATCCACCACCCAAGAGGGACCCTCCTTTTAGGCATGCCCCTTACTCCATTGTTCTTCAGGGTCATTTGGACCCTCATAATGACTGGTGCAGCAGAGTCTGCAGACTGTCGTCTGAGTGCCCTGCAGACAACTTGGTATTTCATGCTTCTGATCCTCAGCTGAGCCCGCTCCCTTCCTAGCCTTCTACTCATCCTTCAGGGCTCGGTTAAGCATCCCCTTCCTCAGGAGCCTCATGAACCTTGGGCCCACTCCCTCAAGGCACCTCCTTGTAGCAGGTAGCCAGATCCTTGCAAGCAAGCAAGCCAAGCAGTCCTGCAGGGCTGTGTGGCTCTTCCAGTGCCACTGAAGGCTTTAAGTAAGCCACCATGCGTTTTCAGACTTCACTCTGACTGCTGTAGAGAGTAGATGATTGGGGGCAAGAGTGGAAGCAGGGGGCCTGGTTAGTTGGCACACAGTCATCCAGGGAGAGAGGCTGTGTGCTGAGCAGTGGGAGCAGGGAGAGCAAACAGCTACATTCATGACATCCAGGAGATGCACCAAGATGCCATGGTTACATATGGGCCCTGGGAGGCTCCTGCCCAGGAATGCTCTGAGGTCTCTGGCATGAGAAGCAGAGCTGGAAATGGGCGAGGAGGCTGGGGTGTGGGTGAGGAAGAGCAAGACAGCCTTCATTTGGCATGTGAGAAGGTGGAGCGCCTGGAGCCCTTGGACACAGAGGCATCTGCCAGGCAGTGGATATTCAGGCTGGAGTGGGGACGCAGATGGGGGAGAGGGGTGCAGGCATTCTTCCAGCCCCAGCCAGTGTCTCCTTCCTGGCCTGCAGTTGGCCCAGAAAGCCCTTGGTACTTAAGGCTACAGCCACCAGCTGCGTAGCTCATGACACCAAAGATTTGGTGTCTGAAGCTCCCACCCCACCCACAGTTCTTCGTGCTGGTCAGCCCTGTTCCCATCTCCATGGGGACTGTCATGAAGCTGGCCTTTCCCCACTTTTCCCCTGGTCATCTATCAGCTGCTCATGGCAAATTCACCGGCCCAGTAGCCAGACCTTGGTGATAAGTGGTCAAGAAGGCCTATTGCCTCCTTCAGGATGTTGCTGATGTCCTGTGGGGCCTGAGCCCTGGTTTTCCCAGAACCCCTGTCCACTGGCCATATGGGAAACTCTTGCACAGAATCCACACCCTGTTTGTTTTCCCCATCTACCAAAATGGAGCTCCTGTTTGGTTAATTTCTATTTTGTGGCTTATTTGGATGCTGTTAAAACAGATCCTGGGGACCCTCAGCAGTAATTGTTCCACATCTCATTATCTTTCCTGAACCCGATTATTAGCTCTGATTTTTCTGATCGCTAGCTGCTGTTTATGATGAGCTGTGTGCCATTAATACCAGCTGGTTCCCTTAAACAGGACCCACCGTGCCAGGGAAAACGAGCTGGCATTCAGAGCCACCAGCCTCTTGGCTTTTTAATTTTAATGGGCTCTACCAAATGTTCCAGGCCAAAGGGCCCTGAGGAACCAGAACAGACGGGCGCCCGACCCCTGGTCTGCAGCCATCTTGGGTTCCTTCTCAGGCTATGGCTGTCCTAAGTGCTGGGGTGGTAAGACCTGGGCTGGGGCCCGGGAAGGGGAAAGGGTAAGTGGCCATTTGCCTCCTCTGTGTCCACTCCCTCCCTGCCATTGGGCAGTGTAACCTCACTGACTCATCGTGAGGTCACAGTTACATACATGCCCAGGTCTCCTCCTCACTTTGCTGGTCCCCAGCCCCTTTCTTGGGCTCAGGCATGTTGGTCATACTCTCAGAAACACATGTGCCTCACTAAATGTCACTCATCCAAGCTGGCAGACCCTGGTGAACTTCAGGGAAGGAGGGGCCAGAAACCTGGACAAGGACATTGTTTTCTCTCTTTATTCTTCCTCCCTACCCTGGGGTGGGGGAGACAGGGTGGGTCGCTCACTCTGGGCTGTGCCAGTCCTAGCCAGGAAGAACGGCCAACAGTGGGTGGGAGGCTTCCGAGAGAGGGAGGCAAATGTGACAGTTGCTTTTCCTCCTTTCCCTCCTGCTGCTCTGCAGCCCTGCCCACCTCCAAGAGGCTGTCCTGGGAAGGGTCCCAGCCTCTCTGCTCTCACTTCCTTAAGGGAATGGCTTTTGCTCCCCACCTCTTCCAGCACTTTCTGTATCCTCTCAAATTGGCATGCAGGATTTTGAACCCAGATCTTCTGACTTCCGGCTGCCAGGGACAGGGGTGGTTCAGGGCTCTATCTTCCCTGAAGGAGTTGCCTTCTATTTTCCACCCTCTGGACCCCAGGCACAAGGTGGCCATTATCAGGGAGGTGTTTGCTATGCAGATGTGCCATTAAAAGGCATGTGGACATGAACGAATCCCTCCTTCAGGCGGAAGGCAATGGAAAAGTGATAACACCGTGGTTAGGAGAAAAGCGTTGAAACTAGCAGGCTCTGTCTTCACATCCTAGCTTTACTTGCCTCATAATAGCTGTCTTTCCTTGAGCAAAATTATTCAACCTCTCTGGGCCTGTCTCTATCTGTAAAAAGGGCCAACAAGGTCTATCCAAAAGCCTTGTCATGGGGATCTCATTAAGATATTTCATGTGAATATGTGCTGAGTGGCCTCATATAGGAGGTGCTCGCTGACATCTACTGAGCCCCCCTCCTCTTCATCACTACTGCCCGCCTGCATGTCCTTCAGCCTCCTCCCACGCCTTCTCAGTGCACTTTTTTGGGGGTGAGGGAGACCATTTCTGAGTCACTTGCTCCTGGACTCGATGAATTCCATTCGTGTAGCGGGGGCAGCAGGGCTCAGTGTGAGCCCGCAGCTCCCCAGCCCTGCCCTCGATACCACTGAAGTGTGTCCGCACTGTGATGCCCCTGCCTGCCTCCCAGCCTTCCCTCAAGCGAGCTGGGAGGACAAGGACTGGACTCTGAGGATCAGCCAGAGACTGAAGATGGAGGCTGTGTTCCCGAGAGCCCAGGCTGGGTTTCCCAGGAAGCACTTTGGCTCCACAGGATGCTGTTGTCTTCCTGGGTCTCACAGTTGCAGCTTGGGCTGGGCTGTTTCTGCCTTGCCACACCCTGCCCCAACAGCAGCAGGAACCTGGCAGCCCTGAAGGCCTTCCCAAGGCTCTGTGCCTTTGCCAGCCACCCATAACATTAAGGCCAGAGCCAGGCCTGAGGGCACAGGGTGGCCTGCTGAGCCGCCAGGTGTGCCAGAGCTGACAGCAGGCTGCCCCGGCCCATCAGACCAGGAGTCCTGCCACGGCTCCTTCCCCACTTCCCAGGAAAGACAGTGCAGGGGCTGGCTTTGGCCTCTGTCTGGGGAAGCAGAGGCCTCTCAACTCAGCTCCTAGTCTGGTTTCGTGCATCTTGTCATTTCTCCCTCCAGGCCTGTACTGGTATGCATTTCTCCACCAAAAAGTCCTTCTCCCCTGCCTAGCCCAACCCCATCTTTCTCTCCTCTACGAAGCCCCACTCCCAGCCTTTGCTGTCTCCATGCAGTCATTTCCTTGTTGGTTCCTGCATTTATTCCTCAGTCACCAGTTTATTGAGCATTTACTATGTGCCAGTGAGTGCAGCCCTAAGTGGTGGACATACAAAGATGAAAAAGGTGCAGTCACCCCTCCCGGTCCAGTGACATGATTATATAACTTCATTTATTGAGGTATCTTACATGCCAAGCCCACACCCAACACTTTACATACATTCTTATGCCAGCGCTCGGATGTTGTAGATATTACCATCCCTTTTTACAGATAGGCAAACTGAGGCAGAAAAAGATGAAATGACTTACCTGGTTAAGGTCCCACTGTAAGTGACACTGGAGGTGGAACTCAGAGGTGGGCCTGAAAGAACAGGTATGGACTGAGCGGAGGAGGGAGGCATCCCAGGCGTGGGTGGAAGTCTCACGGGGCATCTGATGAACAGCAAACTGGACTCTCGGGAAGTGGGGAAGAGGTTATGGAGGCCAAGGCCGCTGTGCAAAGGAGATGACACCTTCTCAGGCAGGTTGGTCATAGAGAGGAGCTGATGTGGCAGACATGAGAAAGCCTGTGCTTTAGAAAGATGAAAGGGTCTAGGGGATGGACTGGATGGACTGGAGTGATGAGGCAGGCAGGGGCTGGGGTGAGGCACCTGGCATGCTGGGCCAGGTAATAGGAGTGAAGGTGATGGCAGTGAGTCCAGGATGTCTGTCTCACCCTCCGTCCTGCTCTGAGCTATGCTGCTTAGTCCTACAGCCTGTGGGCAGGTGTGGGGGTCTCTCTGTCCTGAGTCCTATGGTCTGGCTGGGCCCAGACTTGGGCCTACTGTGGGGTTTCAGAAACGTGGTGCTTAGGGCTGGGGTGGAAATGAGGCCTTCCTATGCTTACATTTATTCATGGAGTATATATCCTTCTAGCAGCAACTGCCACGCCATCCCATCCCTTTTCCCCTCTGCAGCGTGTGTGTGAGTGTGTAAATGTGTGTGTATGTGTCTGATGCTTTACCTCTCTCCCTCTTTCTCATGGGCCAGTTACCTGGGATGACTGGGCAGTGGTACTTTAAACAGCCAGACTGGAGCTCTACAACCTCAGCTGATGCTGAGGATTAGGTGTGTGAAGCGCAGTTGTGGGAAAAGATGATATCCCCCACTCTCTGGTCTTCCTCCAGTCCAGCCCCTCCTCCCAGAAGCCACTGCAGCCTCATGTACTCTTCCTGTGTTTTTATTTTTTCTTTCCAAGGTGGGCCTTAATGTCCTGGTTCAGAAAGCCAACAAGTTCACCCCAGCTACCCGCCTTCTCATCCAGAGGTTTGTGCCGTTCCCTGCTGTAGGTAAGACCTGTACAGCACATAGAGATGTGTACTGTGGGTGGGTGTGGGGGACTGTGGGGCTCCCAGGAGGCAGATGACCCTTCTACCCCTCTCCTGATTCCCACAGGGCACCCGGCTGGTGGGATTGGCACATAATATGTAGCTAAAAGACAGGATCATGGGGTCCCACCAACCAGCTCCATGCTGAGATTCTGCTTTTAGCATAGGGATTCTTAGCCTGGGGTCAATAGACAGAATGACCCCCAAGGGGTCAATAGACAGAATGCTGCAGATCCCATGAGCTTGGTCTGGGAAAAGATTTACATTAACCTACAACTGCATTTTAACATTTACTTCCATGACGAATGTAGGCAGCAAACCACAGTCAGAAGCAGGACCTGTGACTTTGTCACCAGTAGAAATCACAGATGTTTTCATGGCACATTACAGTTGTTACAGAAATCTTAAAATATCATTTATGCTCAACACTAGTTCATATTATCATTTTTCTTTTTTGAGACAGAGTTTTGCTCTTGTCCTCCAGGCCAGAGTGCAGTGGCATGATCTCGGCTCACTGTAAACTCTGCTTCCCCGATTCAAGCGATTCTCCTGCCTCAGCTTCCCAAGTAACTGGAATTACAGGCATGCACCACCATGCCCAGCTAATTTTGTATTTTTAGTAGAGACGGTGTTTCACCATCTTAGCCAGGCTGGTCTTGAACTCCTGACCTCGTGATTCACCCGCCTCAGCCTCTCAAAGTGCTGGGATTACAGGCTTGAGCCACCACGCCCAGCCACTAATTCATATTTAATACATCAACTGATAGATCTTGTTTTTAATTCTTTAGTTAAAAAGCTCATCTATTATAATATCACAGTTTAAAAATAGTTGGATAATTTCTTTCAGGATGATCCCTTTGTGATCCTATATTCTTTGTTTTATGCATTTAGAAACACTATTCTGAGAGGGGTGCATAGGCCTCACCAGACTGCCAGAGTGGTTCCTGGCATGAAAGAAGGTTGGAAGCTTCTGCTAGTATAGGTTTCAAGCCTTTGGGCATTGTGACCCTCTAGGTTTCAGAGGCCTTCGCTCTACACAGGTGATTGTGGGCACACAGGTATATGTGGAAGGGATTTCTCCTGCCTTCAGCTGCATCTTTGCTGAACTCAGAGCCTATGAGCTCACGATAGATGCCCCAGGCCGGGGCCTTGGAGATAACCACAAAGCCCTGCCTGGCCCTTAAGAAGCCTACACCTTGTTTGGGGAGAAGAACAAAATAGCAGAAGGAGTTTTTAAAACTAAAAAGAAATAATATTGAGAGCAATGTAAGGCAGTGCATAGTTAGCTGTCAAGAGAGAAGGATAAACCAGTGCCTGAACCATAACACTGGAGCTCCCCATCTGTGCCCAAGTACAACGGGGACAGGCCCTACACAGGGCATGAGGACCTATGCCCTCTGTGTCACCAAGGCACAGTCTGAAGAGGCAGAGTCAGACCCAGGCTCACAGTCCTGACCCTGATCATCATCTCCAGGGCCCTGCTTCTCCATCTGTAAAGTGTGGGAACCAGTACCCACCTTCCTACAGCCCAGAGCTCTGGGAGGAGCAGTTGAGGCCACAAACCAGTTTCCACTGTGGAGAAGGTGCTTTGGAACACCTTCAAAGCCCCCGTGAGAGGGTGGGAGGTCATTGCTGGGCAGTCCCACCCCTGGATGGCCCAGAGGCTAATGAACTCCCAGAACCAGCCACCTGGCTCAGCCTCAGCTGGCCCAGATAATTGCTATGACAACTCCACACTTTTAATGAACTTTCAGCTATTTCTGTCATGGGCCATTAATGGAATAACCCTTTAGATCTGACTTTGTTAAGGGGCCTAATAAAGCAAACACGGCTGCCCAATTGGTGTTCCTGGCCATTCAGCCTGCAGGGTCAGGTGCAGCCTGAGAAGGGGCAGCGCTCTGCTGCACTGGGCTGGATCTGGGATTCGGCCAAGATGTAATCTGTCCTTAGCCAAGTTTTAGATAAGAACTTTGCCGGGGGCCCATTCCAACCCTACCAGCCATCTTGCTGTGTGACCTTGGAATGGTCTTAACCTCTCTGGGACACCTTCAGGAGGGGGGTCCCTGCTTCAGGTCTGAGACTTTCTGACCTTCCCCTCTTCAGGCTCCAGCCTAATTCCCCTCCTCTCTTCTTTTTGGGAATGAGGCTTTAGCCGCTCACACAGGTGCAGCCACTGTTGGGGTCTTGAGATCCTGCACATCCCTCGAGGGTTGCATAATGTAGTTTTCAGCCCTGACAGTCCTAGCTCACCAGGACCCAGGTAGGCCCTTTGTGGCTTCTTCCTCCGGCCTGACTGCTGAGTCCTGCCTGGGTGCCTGCCTGACTTCTGCCCCAGCCCCAGTCTTCCCTCCCCACACACAGGCTTCCATCTCTCTGGTCCCCATGTCCAGCCCTCTCATCTTTAAGTGGGCCCTTGCGGACAGCCCTAATCAATGTTGACACAGTTGCAAGATGACTAGATATGGCCCTTACCCTCCAGGGACTCAAAAGTCCCCTGGTTCACTCAGGCCACTGTCCAGTCCCTGTGCTTGGCCCCTCTTTACCTTATGCCCAGGTACCCTTAGCCAGACAGAGTATCTCTAAGCTGCACTGGGTGCTGGCAGGTTCTAGGTCCCTCCCGGCGTTCACTCCAGAACTCCGAGGCTAGGCCAGACCAGGCTGGGCCACCATTAAAGGTGACCAAGAAGCTGGCTCAGGCTGTGCTTGACCTTGTGGAGGGTCCCCTTTCCCTTTAGGCTGCTTGCAGAGACAGGAATCAGTAAGTGATGAGTGTACATGGGAAGGAGGTTGGGGCAAGTGGCAATTATATTTAGGCCCTCGTTATTGGGATGTGAGTGGAATGGAAAGGGGTCTTCAGGGTGATCGGGGGTCCTGAAGAGGCTTCTACTCTGTGGTCAGAGGCCACATCCCAGCTCTCATCCTTCTGAGCTCTGGGAAACAAGGAAGTCCCAGGAGTCAGTTTCTTCTTCCCAAGGCTCTGCCAGCTCCTCGGTAGGCTCCAACCTGAATCCTGGGAAGTGGGTCACACACCACATAAGAGTGGCCTGAGACCGGAGACACATGTGCCTGGGACCCACACCAAACTCCACCACTCCTACCCCATCCTACCTGCTGTCTCCTCATCTGGAAATGAGGCCTCTAACCAGACCTCCCTTCAGCCCCTTATCACTGGGACCTCTGTGACTGCAGGCCTCCTGAGGTTTGCAGAGCTCTTGGGGGCTGCACAGCTCCCCTCATGTTCCCCAGCAGGCCTCTCTCCTCCCTCAGTTCTCCCCATTCTGTGCCATCCCCCTCTTGCAGAAGAATGAACAAAGTCGGACTTGCTATAAGAGATACTGAGCTGGCCAAAGCCCAGGCCTCCCAGGCCCAGCTCAGGGCTCTTTCAAGCCCTATGGGATAGCCCCTCACTCCTATAGCTAAGAAATTGAGCACTGTGGCCACAGGCAGCCAAGACTACTCAGTGTCCTCCCTGTTCTGCCTCCAAGTTTCCCCCTAGTTTTTCAGAGTGTGTGTGTGTGTGCGCGCGCGCGCGTGCACACGCCTGTGTCACATGACTGATGTGTGTGGATGCATGTGTGCTGAGTACGTGGGAAGTCCCGGGATGCTCACTGCAGCCATTTCTCTCCCCTTGGAGAGAGGCGGTTTCAGGGCCATGCTGTGCCCCTGGTCTAGAACAGCAATCGTGTGGGAGATCGCAGTTTCTATTTATACATGGAGATGTTAGGAAAGACAGTGAGCCCAGGAGCATGTGCTCTGGCATCGGAATCGATTGGGGACTGGTAATTAATTTGCTTAGACCTTAATTAATTCTCCAGTTCTTTCTTATTTGTGGACTGTCACGCCTAATTGTGTTCAGGAGCTCAAGCTCGGAGCGGGCCCTCTGTTAATTGACGTATGGTTGCTTCGAGGTGAAGTTAATGGTTTGGGAAGCTGGGCAAACAGTGTAATTAAAGGTCAGTAGAGGAGGCATCGGAAAAATACACACCCCCCAGGTCCAGCCACCAGTCTCTGTGAGCAGAGTCCGTTCCAGCAGATGCAGGCCCCACAGGCTTCTTGAGGGGCTTTGGAGGAGAGGGACTGGGAGCAGTTACCAGCAGGAAGGAGGGCCAGGTCCTGGGTCCCAAGGTGGGCAGTGGCCAGGAGAATAGACACATCTCAATGACAGTAATGGGTTGGGCAGGGGCTTTAGGGAGGTGGAGACCAAGGTGTCACATCTGTAAAGCTGGCCCTCTAGATTCCCGGTAGGTGTGTGCAGGGGAGGGCAGGAAGCCCTGAAGGTCACCCCAGGCTGCCTGGCCACATCCACTTGGAGCAGGGAACAGGCAGTGAGTGTCATGTGCTCATCAAGACCCCTAGCTGGGCACTCAGCTCCCGATGAGGGAGGCTTGAGCCTTGGCATCAGCCAGCTGCTCCTTCTAAGGAGAACAAGCTTCCTGCAGGCACCGGAAATGCCAGCCTCAGCAGCTCCTTGCTGAGAAGTGACTTCTTCCTTTGCCATCCTCAGCAGTCTCTTATGTTAAATGTCACAGTATATTTTGTTGCCATGAAAAGATCTCTGTGTTCATCAGTGAGTCCGTCGTCCAAGGGTGTCCTGGCAGTGTTTGGGAGGTCTTCTGTTCATTCACAGGTGGGCAAACCTGCTCCCCCACATCCATACCCCCTTCTCCCCCAGGCCGCCTGGGCCTTTGTGTCATTGAACCCCTCTTCACTTCACTGCTCTGCCTTTGTGCTCAGTCCATCCTGCTTCCTCCGTCTAGGAGGTGTCCATGGCAGTTCTGCCCAAGTCTGGGGGTAGGCCCCTGTGAGCAGGAGGCGGCAGCGTGCACCCGTGGCAGCTGTGTCCTGGGCCCTGTGACATCAAGGTCCCTGCATCAAGGTCAGTGGTGCTTCATGTGGCATCCATGCCCTTCAGGCACCTCCGGACGCCATAAGTCCTTTCTTGGACCTACCCTGCTGTTGCC